ATTAATTTCTAGGATAAAAATTTTTTAACAAGCACTTTTATTTTCAACACGCCTGAAAATAACGCAAAATTCCTCCGAATTTCTTCCACCTGCTGTGAGGTACAAATGATGCCCCCTGCACCTTTTGCTCCTCTTTGCTCTTTTCGCCGCCGCAGATTGAGCGGGCGAGCAGAAAGAGGTGTCGCTTTTTATTTGCCGCATTAGCTGTCGCGACTCTGCGCTCTCGATAATGGTCCTGTTGTGTGGTCATCCATCATCACACGTCCATATTTCTGTCACTCGGCCCTGATGTATGATCGAGTGAGAGAGCACTCGGCCCTGCAAGACATATTGTGCTCGCCTTTTCGCACTCACGTGCCCGAGTTGGATTTTCGCAGACTTGGAACGTGCGAAAAGAAAAACGAATTGTCTGTCACATTACAGGTGACGCAAGGAGGGTCCCCAAAATGAGTTTCAGATTGTCTTGTTCAATACATTATTATAATTTGATATGAAAGGATCATTTCATTTTTACTGATTCTTTTTTAAAATAAAAGAAATGAAACTGAAGGGATTTTAAAATCCAGTAGTTCTTCAGAAATGATAAAAAGTTACAATCAAAATGTTGTTTAATTATTCATTAATACTTGTCATTGCTACAGAAAAGAGAAAAATCAAAGTTGAACAAGGCACCACAGCTACTATTTTTGTTTATCTGCCCAACCTATTTCATTCTTTTTATTTTTAATTTACATTTATATTAAAATAGTTTCTTCCAATTTGAGGATTTAAAAGATTTTACCATTTTAATCAATTTAAAAATGTATTTTAACTGAAGTTTGAAAACGTTTTGCTACGCATAACGATAATTGGCTTTATTTACATTAAAATACACTGATGTTTGACGTTTTCTTCATGTCAACATGTCACAGTGTGTGACCCATACCTGCAAGCCGACGTGCACTTTGGTCTTGTTTGCAGGGGGCGCTTTAATTTAATCCGGTCACCGGAGGCACGTGGCGGCGGCTGCGGCGTTTGCTTATCTAAAATTTAATAACGCTCATAAATTAGGTTATTGTGAATAAGTGGATTATCGCATTTCCTCCCCAGGGCGGGCTTATGCAACATAATTCCTGTGTTGTGCGCCTTGATAAGTTAATAATGCCAAGTCTTGCCCACTGGCCTCGCGTGATTCATAAGCCCACCTTGCTTTATTTCGTCTTGGTGAAATCGACGCCTCTTTGTCCGGCGATTATCTCTTAACACGTCGCGTAATGGCGCCGAAATCGGTGATTATGGCGTTTTATTGCACTTCCATCGGCTGCTTTGTTCCACCCACATGGGATTAATACTTTGGTGAACATTTGTATGGCAAAAGTTTTGCGGTTGGTTTGACTTTGATGGTGCTGAGCTCAGAATTGTTTGAATCAGAACAAATTTTAGCTGGTTTAAAATTTTCACCATTAAATGGGAAAAAAGTATGGAATCCACTTATTAAGATCGAAAAACATCACATGTATCTGTTTTAATCGGATCATTAACAGAAGCGAGCTGCAAAATATGCTTAATGTATTTTCCATTCAGTTAATTTATAAATTCCAATTTCTAATTAATTGATTTGTATTCTCTACCAAATTTGAATCCAATTTGTAGTTTTCAATGTATGGAAAAAGTATTTGAGCACAAAATGTCCAGTGATGCATCAACAATCACTTTTACTTAATTTATTATGAAACCATGATTAAAAGACTCAAGAATGCTATGAGGAGATGACAAATCAAATCGCTCTTTATCTCCAAATCTTTAACAATTTTTTTATTACAACTGATTGCAAATATATTTTGGTCATTATATTCCTACAATTTTTTATTTCAAACTCGTTACAATCTGAACAGACTTAAATATTCAATTCTACATAAAAAGAACCTTAATATTTTTGAAATAGTGAAATTCAGTTGGAATTTATTTAAGAAATTTTATTGTAATATTAAAAAACTATATAAATAGGAAACTTTTAAATTTAGAATTCTTTCCAAGCTTGAAGGGTATAAAAATTTCAACCCATATTAAGGGCAGAAATTATCACTTTGGCCTGTGCTTTTTGACAAACGGGCAAAATAATCCCGTCATTAATTGGCTGCTAAGCCTCAAAGCTTGCAGCCGGAGCAAAGGGGGATCGATGTGAATAAATTCGCCTCGTCGCCGAACGGCGTAAATCCTTTTTACGCAGCAGGACGCCGAGTGAATGAAGTGTCAAAGCTGTACAAACACACGCCCGGCTACTTCGATCTGGCGCAAATCGAAGAATTTATATACGCGTGCTGATATTTGACGCAAATGGAAATTTATCGCCGGACCCGCTTCGGCCTGCAAATTCTCAGGTGACTCGCCTCTAAAAGGTTTCGCGCATAAAAGAGACCTGCCTACCCCCGGGTAAATATAGCAAAAAAAAACCTCCTCTGACCACTTAATAATATGAGGAGCGGCTTATAAATCAAAAATCCCAGGCGCGGCAGCTGGGGGTGGGTGGGGGTGCACCATATTGGGGCTGCAAATCCGATCAGCGGCGTTGGTGCTGCCAGTGAAAAATCGCGCCAGATTGAATCGGAGCAAATTTGTAATTCTGCACCACGAGTGGCAAGAGCATGTGCAGGATTGCGAGCGGCCGACGTCGATTTGCACAAAAGATTGATCAAAACTGCTGCCAAGGCCGAGCCACGGAAAGCAGGAAAACTTAATTCTCTTTTATCTGAGAATCGCTCAATTATTGAAACTTTCACTAGGGATGAGCAAGATTATTGCCTTCTTTGCGATGATCTTTCAATAGAATTTGAAATATATATTAATATTCATATACATAAATAATATGTAGTTTTGTAATTAAAAATAATATTAATAATAATTTTTACCATACATATTTTATAAATCATATTTATTTTAGCTCTTTTAGTTACTATTTTATAAATGATTATATTGAATTACAAATATATTTTTTTATATAAATAAACTGAAAAAATTACCAAACCACCTTTTCAAAATGGATATCCTATATTTTTATATTGTGCAATGCAATATTATAAAATTATAATTTATAATTGGCGCAGCAACTCATCGAATATTTGATTATCATAATATAATTATATTTGCTCGAAAGTATGTTTTGTCTGAGGTCTGGACGAATTTTGTTATAAAATAAATGAACAGTGTATGACTTATAAGAACATTTGCTCCAGTTTAACTATACAGAATGGTTAAGTGTGTAAAATAACGACCGCTTATTTGAATCTCACACATCATTTCATGATAAACACTAATCAAACCAAAACTTTATATACAAAATTGAAAATTATAATATTTGAATCAAACTCAGTTCATAATTAGTTGAAATAATTGCAAAAGTTTCTGATAAGATGATCAAATTCCTTTCTTCTGTCATACGTTTAACAAGGTGTAAGCGAAACACAGTTTAAAAGTTGAAAGCCGCTTTTTTCACGTGCCAGTTTCTGTTCCGCGATAGTTGAAAAGTTTTACAGGTTGATCGGTATTCACAACACTTGAAACTTCTCTTCTGGAAACCGTCTCTTTTGCAACGATCTCATTCATAACTTTGCGAAACGGGATTTTAAAGAACGGTATGCATTTGCGTCGATTGCCGCGAATAAAAGTATAAACTCGTTGCAGCATGCTGAAATTTGATTTGGCCAATCCGCTTCTTTTCTTGAAAGTACTGCACATCAACACACGGGACGAACGAATGCGAGGCACGGCTTATCCCCGAGCAGCATTTCCTCTTCGCATTCCAATTTCTTTGCGACGGATTGAAGGAACTCTTTCTTTGGAATAAGTCTATTTTATGGCGGCGTGCTGCTCCAGATAAGGACGGTGAACCGCTGCTGCTCGCAATCATTCTCTTTGAAAACAGACGCAATTTCTCAACTCAAAGTAGTACCCGTAGAAACGCGTGGAGGCAAATTATACTCAATTTAACTTACAAGTACAAATATTATGATATATATATAGTAAAAAATAAATGCAAAATAAAACTTAAAAAGGATAAAACAACTTGAAACAGTGTCAGACAATTTTGGTGAAGCGAAAATATTTTGACTTTGATTTTATTTCTACATTATTAACGCTTCATTAATTTTCATATAGTTTAATTTATTTAAGTAACAATAAATCGATAATTTAGGAATATTGTAAGATTAATTTGATGCCAGTTAATAATCAGAACGAACAAATTTAACTTTCAACACACGTTCTTAAAATTTAGCACCATCGCGCTTGTGTACTTTCTTGTAAGTTTTTGCCAGTTCAATTGTTTTCTGATTATTTTCTGGCATCTTATTCGTCTTTCAATACTCCTAAATTATTATACATAATTCATTGAAACTTTTATAAAAGTTAAGTTTTTTTAAACTAGCAAAGCGTTTATATTTTTGACGTTGGTTTTTCACTGTCGAATCTGAAAAATACTAATATTTTTAATTTTAATATTAAAAATAAAATATCCTTATTTATTTTACAACCATTAAAATTTTATTTGCAAAATGTGAATTACCTTGCAACAGAAATGTCGGAATACAAACAATTAAACAATTAATAATTGGATATTAATTGATCTACATATAAATCTAAGTAAACTGAGCAAAACCATTCATTACATAAAATATTAGACTTTTATCTTTAATGAAAAAATAGCTAATTTTTTTTCTAACAATTGCGTACAATTTTCACCAACCAGGAAAATCTGCATCTATGTATAAATATACAGAAAATAAGCAAAAAAAATTACTACTCGCTCTCTGGGACAAGATCAAAGCGACTGGCTAAGCAAACACGTCACGTGGGGCCCCTGCTAGGTATGCATTCGGTGCGGCCGGGCGACTCGTTGCATATACATTTCCATCCAACTTTAATCAAGGGGCTCTTTTTCTCTCCACAGAGCAGCTCGGTCCGATTTGTCTCAATTATCGACGTTCGACTTCTTGTCACTCACGGCGTGTCGTGTGTTCTTGCAGGTGATCCGGGCGCAGCAGCAGCGAGCCAAATCGAGACAGAAACGTGACCTGCGACCCACAGTGCAGCTCAACGACTTCTACTGGAAGGAAATGTGGTACCTGGTAAGTAATTTGCTCAATTTAATTCACCTTCCTCGCAACTTGCGTTGGCGTGATTGTGTTTCCGAAACAAACAAAAATGGCACCAAAACAAACTGAATTCTTATAAATTTATTTCAATTATTAATATTGGAAGGTTTCCTTTACTCTGATATGCCAAAAAATTTATTCCATAATTTTGTAAAAATTCGCCGAAATAACTCAAAAATATCTCCAAAAAATTCCAGAAGGGAAAAAAATAAAAAAAAAATCTTTAAAAAATAATTGTTTGTGGCCAATCATTGCCACGGTCCTAAACATATCTAAATTTTCTCCCTAATTTTTTTAAATAAATTTTAATATTGTTGATTATAAACTAATTAATAATGAGTTGCACCACTTCTTTTAGATTTTTATCCAATTTTAGAGAGAAAAAAACACACATGAATTGGTTTCTGTTTTTTGGGCTTGACCAAAACCAGGAATAAACCTATTTTTCATCCCTTCTCCCCACCGGTGTTTGTTTGCTGGCGATTAATTTATTCGCCTTATCTCTAATCGATTGCCAGTAAAATCTTGAGCACTCTTTGCTTTTGCCTTTGCGGAAAAATGCTGCATAAAAATGTTACGAGCTATAAATTGAGCTGCGTCGGCGGCCCCTCTTCTTTATTGAGGTTATATTTCGCAATCAAGATGGGCAGGAATCGAGTGCATGTCCCGACAGATTTTATGCTCCCCTCCCGTTTTATTTAATAAAAGAAGAGCTCTCTCGACGATGCACTTACCTATTTCGCTGGCCCCACAGAAAGAGGGATTAATTTCGTTCCAACTTGGTGCTACAGATCTTTATGAACGTCGTTAGTTGGCAACATCTTGCTGAGCATTAAAATTTTCCTGCAGCTTACTTGCAATGTCCCTTAATAGTTTTATCAGATAGAATATTGTTAATGACAATTATATTTTATTCATCTTGAGAAGAGAGAGTTTTGCAATCTGATGCATCTCATATAATCGGAGGAAAACGTTAAATTAGATTTTTTTTTAATTTGCAGGAAAATTCATTCATACAATGGATCTGTGTAAAATTGTGTCATTCTGATTTCTTATAAATATAGAGTATTTAATTTTTTAAATATTTTATGTCTGGATCGTTTATGAACTTTTTACGGAATTATAATTTTAATGCTAACAATTAAAAATACTTCATAAAAATTGAATTAGACGTTAGAAGCAAATAATTGTTTTTATTTTTGCAAGAAAACTTTTGGATTTCAGTTCCTTGTCGTGTATGAAAATCAGCGCCGTAATAAATTTCAAAACAAAAATGAAAGTAAACATATTTTGTTCTGTCGGCGAATTCATTCATTAGAAAAAAGAGTTTCTAAAACAAAATAAATGAAAAATTCTTGCAAATATAAACATTTTATGAATAAAATTCTGCGTGGTTTTTGGTAGCAGTGTGCATAAAGCAATGTAAAAGGAAAACTTTCAAAGAGGAGTCGATTTATAAAATTACCAGATTCCACAAACACGGACCAAAAGAGGAAAATAATAACTCTCTGCGGAAAACATTTTTCATTTGTTTATTTAAAAACAGGACAAATAAAAAAAGGAAAATTTTAGCACTCCGGTCTCGGACATGCCGAAAAACGAACTTGTTATTATTATTTTTTTCTATATTTCTCTGATCACAATATCCACGAGCGATTTCAATTTTTTGCCACTCGCAGTAATTGAACTGCCCGTCAAAGCGGATCAATACATTCCGACCACGGGCTGTGACAAACTCGCCTGCGTTCCCAAGTAATCCCCGGCGCCAAGCGAAACTTTAATTGGCACCAACACATTTGGTATTTATGTCAACGCAAGCAACTTACGCGGCTGTAACGCATATTTGATCCAGAGAGGTACAATCGAATCGCACACACACTGCAAACATACTGTGAAACGCAAACAATTGAGAAACTGCCGTGATTGTGGTTGGGTTGAGCAACGGTCAATATTTATCAGCTTGTAACTCAACCATTGATTTTGTGCATATCGGTGCATAAATTGTGTTAATTCCATTAAAGATTGACAGAAAAGTAAAAGTAAAAGGTCCCTTTAAAAAAAATAGACTTGAGGTTCAAATCTTGAAAAGAATTATGATTGTGCCAAGTAACTCGTTTTCAGGCAAAAACGCATCCTTAGGTATATGAGTGAAACAAAATAAAAGGCCTTAAATTTTTAAACATTCATTCACATTTGCAGGGAATTAATAAAATTTCAATTCAAAGTTTACCATAAGAAATAATATAAAAAAGCATAATTAATTTTTATTAAATATAAGTATTTTGGTTACATTTTTTAAAATTGGCTCATTAAAATCTTATTATTTATTTTTTGAACCTTTTATTCCATCAATGAAACATAAAACTAATTAAAGTATAGTAGACTATATATTTTTAAATTAATTAGAATTCGTTGCATGATTATCGAGATTTTCTAATTGTGTTTGCATTTCAAACAAAAATATAATTTTTAGAGTGAATACTCCTATGACTCGGAAGAATTAGATATAAAACATATAATTGTCTTTACTCCTTGAGACGTCTCATCCTTTATGATGACATTGATATAATAGTATTTAATAAATTTATTTCAAGTTAATTGTAGTCCTCTTACTTATATTAAAAACATCTATTAAATCTGCAAGAAAGCTAAAAATATCTCTGGACTTGATTAATAGTACGAATGAGCAAAATTAAAGAATGTAAATATCGCAATGAATCAAGCGCTAAGAATTTCTAACACCTTTTTCATTGTAATTATTTATGTTAGCATAATTCTAAAACACGCATCTTTTTTATTTAAATGCACTACAAAATACAAAGTTGTACCGGACTTCAGTATTAAATTTAATGCATTCAATCGATTTAATGAAATCATAGAGCTAATTTTATTTCTATACAAAAAAAATATTATTTGCCACATATTTAGCAAATTTTAAACTTCATTTCTATTTTTAGCTTCTTTCCTTTGATACGATTCTGAAACGTTTTGCAAGATCTTTTGTCGGAATTCACATTAAAATAGCATCAACTGGGTTATCAACGTGCCAAATCAACGTGTCGCAATTCCAGCGGCGCCCGCAGGCTGTTTGGCGTGACAACTCTTTCGCCTGAGCCTAATTCAAATTCCGCCAGCCAGCGATAAATGGGCACGTGTGTGCCGGGGTGTGATTGTATCGCGTTGGAAAAAAACCGAGCTAGTCGAATATAAGGGCTGTCACATTCAGCCGCGGGCCCAAAGTGTCGAAGAGGCTTTTCAAAGCTGCACACACACGCGAGAATCGTCGTGTTGTCCGCCGAGGGTGTCGCAAGTGACATTTTTGAAATATCCTCCCGCATGCAAATAACGAGCTTGGCATTTGCCACTCTAATTGCTCGACTCCCTTCTCTTTTGCACATTTTTCTCTTCCTTTTCGAGTTCCGCTGCACGGGCGTCGTGCTAATGAGGAAATATTGTTGCCCGCTGCACAAATGACCTTTTTTAATGTTTTTCGTTTTCATTTAAATAAAAAGTAAGCCTTTGCATTCATTTATCAACTCTTTCAACGGCTTTGTACTTTTGAAATGATATTTTTATTTGTCGCTCTCTTTCCCAGGTGGAATACTAAACAGATAGAAAAAATAAAAATATAATACACAGTGCATTTTGTTTGCGCCACTTTATTTGCGGTCTAGAGAGTTGCAAAAATGCATATATAAAGCAGAAAATTTTCATCCCACTATGAAATGCGCTTTTTATATTTATGCCTAAAATCCGCAGAGAAATTCAACGTGCTGGAATTCTGAAACTGAGACAAAATTTAAATCATAATTTTATTTAAATTCCTAATTTTAATTCTCAATCAAAACTTCTGATAAATAAATTAACTCATTTTAAAGTTTGAACTGAAAACAGTTTGAATTTAAAAAAAAAAGCAGACCTAGTACACTGAAATTCACATCTCTATAGCTCTGACAAAAGACTGCACATTTTATTTTGTGTTTTTTGACAAATTCAGCTTTTATCAAGATTGAGAATATCCTATCCAGCAGCTATCCAGCAGGTGTCTCTTTTGTTGAATAAAATGTTTCACTTTATTTTATTTTTGCACAAAACCGTGCGCTGAACAAAAGAGAGTAATGGAGGAGATTCGCACACGCCATTACGGCTGCAGCTATTTGTTTGAATTCGCGCACGTATTTAATGCGCGACTCGTTAAGTAAGCAAGTAAAAACACGCCAGCATTCGTTTTATTACGGCAGGAGGAGGGTGTAAAATACATGTCGTAAAACAGCGCCGCGCGTATATCATTAAGGATCGAAAGAGGACCGCGCGGTGTAATGCACGCGTAATGACCATAAATGAGATGGATCTGAAAAGAAACGGCTGCTGATATCGGGCGGCTCATTTCTGGTATCGCCGGGGAATAACAAGCGCAATCGACTAATGATTATATTTAATGACGTGCAGTGGGGGCGTCTAATTAAAGACGGCCGGCGATTGATCTGATGTGATATTCCGACCGAGTGGAACGGCAACTAATGGAAAAAAGGCCTTCAGATTATTTTCACGGGGTTCGCAGAAAGATCGAAAAATGAGATGGGCACGTGGGAATTGTGGAGCTGGTCCCGAATTGAAGAAAGATATAAGAGGCAAGATTTTTTCAACTGAATTAAAGAGAAAGAATTAAGTTTTATCCATTTTTTTTTCTTTTTAACTCCAATTATTAGAAATTTTGTATGGTGGTTTTTTTTTCATTTTAAACATTTTTTTAACCTAAAATTATTAGCAAAAATTGTGCAATAGTCGAAAATTAGTAAAATAAAAAGTTTTTAAAACCTCGTAAGTTTTGAAATACTCCAGAAATTGTAATTTCACGGGATTTTCAAAAATACAAAATTATGAAAATGAGATAAAATAAATCAATGATTTTTTTTATCTATTTCCTTTAATCATGGAAAATAATTTTTTGAAAAATGTTACAATTTTAATTT